CTCTGGCGCTTCTAACAGAGGCTCTGTGAGTTGAGCTGAGCAAATACTCATCTCTCTGTGGATTTTCTAAAACCGTTTAGGTAAAAAGGTGAAACACTTATGAGAAGACCCGGCACATATCACAGAGGCTCTGTTACCCTTGAGCCTCTAACAAAACTCTGTCAATAGTTCTTGTCTATTGATATGGTGCGTGTGGTTCTGTAGACAAGGGTTAGAACCAACACGCGCGTGTCAGAAAACGGAAGCGCACGTCATCAATCGCACGTCTTCCCAATACGGCGTGTCATACCTTTTTTGAACCGTTTCACCCAAATCCACTCATTACACGACCTTTCGTAACAAAGACGGTTCAATTTTAAAAATCCCCACCTATAAATACCCTCCTTCCCCCCAAATTAAAACCTTACGCTCTCAAAAACTCTCATATACACACAGACGAACCAGAAACCTGCAAATCTCTCAAAGCTTACCTGCAACCATGCCGTCTTCAAGCGCCTCAGCCCAATCAGTGAACGTATCCAGCGATAACGAGGTCACCCAAGCACAAGCTCTCACTTCACACGCCCTGTCTTTCATGCAAAACAAGTAGGAAAAGATCGTCCTCGTGAAGAAGCCGAATAACTACTTTTTCGTCCCCTCAAGCATAGGTTTTCCCGATTTCACCTTCACTCTAATGGAAATTCTAAGGAACCACCCTCTTTTCTATGCTTTATCTGCTACTCCACCCACACCAGAAACCTATCTAACCCAAATTTTGTTGAGTGCCTACATTACTACTCTTGACAATTCTGGCCTCATACATGGTCGGGCTCATCAAGAAGAAATGCTCAAGCTAACGGGGGGAAAAGTCGAAGGTACACGCCCAAAAGAAGGCCAAGGAAGATATGAACCAGCCAAATTTGATCCTACAAAGCTTCCTTGGTTTAGCATTTGGAGACCTTCTGGCAGCGAAACTGCATACTGTGGAGCCCAATGCAAAGCTCTATCCTTTCAAGGAGTTTCATCCTACCGAGCACGAGCATGGCTACAGAAGCCCAAGACCCTTATCCAAGGCCATGCTCAGGTATTTAAGTCACGAAGTTCGCAAAGCCTATAGACGTGGATACAGGCGACCAGAACCGGTCCCTGTAACCCCACCACGAATAGGTGTCCCCTTAGGTGAGGAAATCAAAAAGATGAGAGTGGAGGGACGTGTGGAGGAGCCAGTAGTGGCTGGTAAGCAAAGTGAGGTACCCCCAGAATCCCAAGTCCCCCACGCAAGAAGAAGAAGACACATAAGGGTGATGACTCTTTTGTGAAGAAGAAAGGGAAGAAGAGGCTCGTAGAAGAAGAGGGCCCAACGGTACCTCTGCCAAAACAAAAGAAGAAAATAAAGAAGGTTGAACCGACAGAGCCTGTGATCACAGAACCTTTGGTCACAGAGGCCATTGAAGAAGAAAGCCCGACAGAGGCTGCAGCTACACCCAAGCGCAGAAGATTACGCAAGATGGTTCTCGATGTTTCCCCAACAGAACAAATTCAGGATGTTCTTTTGAATATCCAGAAGGAGTTCAAGGCGCCAATTGATGAATCACARTTGGGGACAKAAGTCGTTCTAGACGACGAAGAAGAAGAGGCTGAAGAGTTAGGTGAGGGCGCAAAAGATGCCGAAGGCACACTACCAAGCCCACCTCCTAGTGCAATCCACATTTCTAGAGGCCCTGTTCTAGAGGGAACCTCTATTGAAGCAGGCACGTACATGCCAAACCCTAACCAGCCTATCCCCACAGAGGACATTCTTTCGTCCCCTGTGGAACGCATATCTGGGCAACCTCATACAACTCCCTCATCCTCTCAAAAGGATGAAGGTTTTACAAAAAGAGTCCCTTCGCCCATGGACTCGACAGAACCAAAAGAGGCATCCGTTGCCTCTCCTCACACGAGTAAACAACCAGAACCTGCTTCAGAGGCACAAGTGAGGACCACA